CACGAAAGCATTCCTTTGTGAGGGCGCCTGAAAATGCGCACATTGCAAGAAGGCCTCCCCTTTCGACTACGGGGGCCTCATTCAAACGGCCAGGCGTGGCCACGATGATGTGGCAGCCCCGTTTCAGCCACTGGCAACAAGGCGCATTCGCTCTTCCCACTGTGACTTGGGGCAGTGCAACCGTCGCACCTCGAGTTGCTCGCCCTTGGACTCGCCGCCCGTGCAGTTGCAGCAGAGAATGCCCGAAGAGCGCCCGAAGCGGAGCGCCTGGCAACTGCTCTTGTTCCGTCTTCTGTTTACAAGTCTGCTGCATTCTGCTGCAATGCATGCGGCAAACCCTTCCCCTCAAACCAGAACTCCAGAACAGACCGCGGCGACAACGATCCGAAAAAACCAAAGCCCTCACCTCCAGCTGGATCTGCCGCGCGAGCTCTCGGGTAGGTGCCAGCACCAGCGCCTGCGCGGGGTGCGTGGTGGAGCAAGTGTCAAAGCCATTTTCATAAGGCACAGAGATTGAAAATCTAGGCAGGTCGGACTGGTGTTGACATCCCTCCTTCTCGCAAGCTGAAGCAAGGCCGGGCGTGCAGATGCCAAAACATCAGGTTCTGTGCCAAGCATATAAAACCCAATTACACAGCTTCAAGCAGCGACCACTACTGTTGCAGTCTCGAGACGTCTGGAGTTCAGAAAAAGACTATCTAGGACCCGTTCCGAACAATGAGCACAAATCCTCTTGGCTGCACAAACAACAAGTCTTGTTCAATCTCCACCTAGAATTGACTGCCGGTGCTTTCATCCAGGGAGCCATACCGATGAGAGTCGACGCGCTGCCACTTTTGCCTCGCTTCCCGCATCTTCTACGTCCTCTGCAACGAAGCTCCTCATCACGTGACCCATGCTGAAGAAGGAGCCGAAATTTGCACTCAGCCAACATCTGAATCTAGCTAGGAAGAGACAGGAAGAGGCGTCACCAGCATTGGGCAGCGCACGTTGCAGTCTCACGAGTTCAAAAGCGTGAGACATCCGTCAGCCCTGATAGCACATGTTGTGCACACAGAACGAAGATTTTGCAAGGGCAAGCATCAATAACTTCCCCTCAACTGCTGTGGGACTCCCTTGTCAAGGCTCATGGCAGCCAGCCTCTCTTCTCAGCTTCGTGGTCGGCTCTCGATTTCGCTCTTCTGGGATCCTCGACGAAGGCAGGTTTTCGGTCTCGGTCTCGGGCGGAGGCTCTGGAAATATCTGTGCATCACAACATAACATGACGAAATGACGACATCTTTCAGCCTAAAAGCCTGTCCAAACCTCGATCCATAATCCGGACATGGCCTGGGCTTAGCTGATTCGAGCGTATGCCCCGCAAAGTTCGCGTGGACCTGCGCCAGCAGAGCTGCTTAACGATGCTTGGCGGCCGGGCTTGTCTAAAGGCTCTACCAGCAGTACTTGCTCTCAATGACTGCATGAGTATAGCTTTAACTTAGGCGTCGACACGGAAGGCAAAGGTCAGAGGTCGCTTGCTCACGTAGTCTTTTAAAAGTCTGCTCGAGCTGACCTACCGTACAGGCACTTATTTCGGTCTGGATTGGATCGGCCTCATGGGCGAAAACGAGCCTGCGCAACCCTGCAAGTGAAGCACGTATCCCTGCTACCTCTGTGCCCCGCCCCCGTGGGGATCTTCTGCACCTAGAATGCTGTGGTCGACACATACCGACATACTTACGTAGGAAGCTGAAAGTGGGATCCTTCCTATTTCCAGTTGTGCATCGCCACAGGATGGAGCGAATGCTGCTTGAATTGGCTGGTGAAACTGCAATCCGGTCTCACTCAAGCTTATGATTGCCAGAGACTGCGCGGTTTCGTCGGGCAACAGCAGTGCATTCAGCTGTTTTTCTGCGACATCTGCATCGTCACAAAAAAACTTTGGAGGACTGGATCGCCGAAGCTGTCTCCCCGGATGCTTCATGGGTGCTGGAAAGGGAAAGCCTGAATGCCTAGACGAAATCTGCATCACTCGCCCCAAGGGAGTGGCAAAGAACATGCCGGGAAGAAACAGCTCCTGCTTTGAAGGAAGCTAGTGCCACACGAGTGTCCACGCTCACGCCGCAGATTGTGCCTTCGGCGACCTCATCCACACTGTGGTTAACATAGTTCCCGAGAACTGAGTCGAGCACCGTTTTCAACTGATCGCTCGAGCGGATCTGCGCGGCAGCGACTTCAGTGCCTGACATCTTTTGACGATGGCACTGAGCTGCGCGGTATGGCGAGTGGAGTGGAGCGCATGCAAGTAGCAACGTTTGCAATGTCCCATACCCGGGCATGGGACAGTGCAAACTTTGCTATTTGCATGCACTCCACTCCATTCGGAATGGCGCAACAAGGCATGATCTTCTGCTCCACGCCCCGAAGGTCGGGAGCACGGTCCTTGTACTGAAGCTGTTTCTTGGTCTCCTCTGGTGTGGGGGATGCACACATGAAGACTTCTACATCTTCCAGATTTATGCGGCTCTCAACATTTGTGGCCTTTGCTCGACCAGGATGGGAAATCGAGAATTTCCTTGTAGGCACTCCAAACAAGCTCTGCCAGGCATCCCCTCAAGTCGAGGGCTTGCAACTTCCGTTTCTTTCTATAGGCGTCCTCGAAACCAAATTCGGCCGCATCATGCCTAGAGGATGGGAATTACCCCACTACGAAACAGTCAAAAGACCAGCGGAGGACGTCGAATACGCATTCGGGCTCCGTACAAGAATTGGCTTCTCGGCTTCGGTGCAAAGCATCGTCTTCAGCAAATCTGTGTCCAAGTGCACGGAGGAAGTGAGGACGTGGAGCGGGGATTTTTGCGAAGGCTCGTCACACTGAGCTCCGATCCAGTGCAAGCGTCTTCCAAGAGGCAGGTGGCCAACAACGCGGGAAGGCGTCGCTGTGGCGATGGACTTGAGCAGCCTTGCCCTTAGCCGGTGCCCTTTGGGAGGCCTTTGCCTTGCCCTTTTGGAGGCCAGAGAAGATCCAGGACTTTGGCCGTCGTCTGCACTCGCTTCCACTCCCCTTTGGGGAGGAGCTTTGTTAGCAATACTTTGAGAACTGAAGAGTTCTCCTGTGAAGCGACATTGGCTTTGACGTCCATGGACACTGCTGTGATCTTGCCCTGGCGTTCCCCCCCCTCGCTGTGGACCTTCGCCATGACATCCGAATCGCCACGCCGAGGTGACGCCGGTCGCACGGCGAGGAGGGGTTCAGCCTCTTCCACACGCAAGCCGCAGAGTCGTTTAAGGGCTTCTTCCACGTCGGGAGGGAAGCCCCGTCTGACTCAGAGCAAGTGCGCTTCAGGTTGGCGCCACCTCCTTTGCTAGGTCTGCTAAGTATTTCTGAATTATAATTCCCCCTATTCCTGCATGTCTCACCTGCGCTTTGCCGCACAGTCGCTCCACAACAGGATCTTTGAGCTTGGTACATCTACCATTTCGGAGCCGAAGGCGAACGCTCCTTATAATGCTTTCCACGATAGTCCTGCGCGAAAGATCCAGCAGCGGCACACAAGCGCTTGAAGTGGCCCTTCTGAGACTGTGCTGCTCGATCACACTACTGATCTCCCACTGGCCCATCGTGACGTGACGCAGTGCACTGTGAGTTGGCATGGCCGACCCAAGCACTCTTTGGCAATCAACCTCCAAGCCCTGAGCCAAGGCCCGGGTTCAGGGAATGTATCTCAGGGTTGAGGATGAGGCACACCGTTAACAGGGGGAAGATGTCCTCGAGCTCTCCAGCGATTCTAAGATGAAGTTCACTTGCATGTACGACGGAATCAACGTAGCATGCCCAGAAAGGCCCACTACTCTACCTGACAACCTTCAATCCAACAGCACATCAGAGCGACCCTGTTGAAGACGAGTCCCATGGGTCCTATGGCCTGGTGCTGACCTGGGTCTGCGCATGGCCCCCGGGCCACGTGGGGCCGAGGCCTGCAGGCTTCCCCGCAGCTTACGCGCCACCAAACTGCTGCACACTTGGAGGTTCATGGGTAGTTCTTTTGTAGGGTTTTAGGTAGGGTAACTGTAGTTACAACCTATATTAGGGGACTTATAACCCCGCTTATAACTAATCATGAACCTCCAAGCAGTGAAGCACCAGGTTTAGGGTTTAGGGGCACTGGATCTTACGAAGAAGTGCCGTTGCGAGTCCCAACTGAGGTCTGGATTGGGGAAGTGTGAAGCGGGCAAGGCATTCGCCCGCAGGGCTTGGCAGCCTCAACTTGCCAGCGGCACGGTGGAGCGATTGGCAGCCTCATTTGGGCGCTTATTCTTCTGGCACACCGGAGGTTTCACCCATCTGTTGCTCGATAGCGGTGTGCTTTGTGTCGGCCATACCAAGGACGAGTCCACTCCAATAATTGCATCCAATTTCTACAGGACCCTCCAAAAAATGGAGCACCGAAGCTGAGCCTCAACGCAGGCAACAAAAAGACTGCTTTGGTCTGGGCTCCGGAACGGCTGGCGCAGCGCTGCCAAAGAGTCATAGAAGGTCTGAACGGCCTTCATAACTCGGCGAGTTCAGGCAAGGCTGTCCTCTTCAGCCAAAGCGTAGATGGGATCATCCCATGGAGACAAACGAACGAGAGCTGTCAGCCGCTCAGATCCCCGTGACCGACCCGAGGAAACTTGTCTCGGAAAGCCTTGGCTTCGGCATCCAGGAACGGCTCCTGCTTCACTCCAATTCGGCTTTAAAAGCTTGGTTCCTTGATTTGTGGGCTCGTGGGGTTCAAGTCGACCTCCAGCGTCTTGCTACTGGTGATGTTGTCCAAATTATGGGGTCTCCTTTGGGTTTTCCTCTCTATAAGGTGCTGCACCCCAAACTATAAGGTGCCGCATGAAGATTTGAGCTGTATAGGGTCCCCCAAACGGACCGTGATGTTGACAGTTACCCATATGTTCGCTGCTTAAATATACACATGGGCCTCCGAGTGCAAGGAGAGTCTGCCACCCACGGCGCTTCTCTGCCCTCCGGCTTTTCGATGCGAGGGCCACACGTGCTCGGATGTTCACGCTACTTTTCTCCTCACTCCATATCGGAGACGCATACGGACGGAACACTTAAAGGATACGATCATTACATCTACGCTTTGGCAGCTTTGGCACCTTCGACGCTTGGGACCCGCCAAGGGTGCGATTGCGCGGGCCTCGGCCTCGGCAGGTCTCCGCATGTTTCTGCAGAGCACTGCCGAAGGACTTGTTGGGCTTTGCCCTGAGCTTCTCCAGCTGGGGAAGCTCAGACTACGAAACCAGATCGAGTGGTCTGCACCGTGTCTGGATCCATCTTCCTGCCAGGGACCATGCACGAAGGAAGCACAAAGACTGCCGACCTTGCAGCACGCTGTTGCTATGTGCCCTGCGCATGCAGACATATAAATGCATTAGATAACGTCTAAGCCTGTAGACCGTCTAGTAACTCTAGTAGCTGCTCGGAATCCCGGGATGAGAAGAAGTGAGTTTTGGACCCTCCCGGTCTTCGAGTTGGAAAACTGGCCTCAGCTGACGAACAGTCACAGTCAGCCATCAAAGTCAGCTGCAGCTTGACCGATGCGGGACCCTAGCTCAATTCAGAATAGGCTGACCCAACCAACCCTAGCCTGTCTCTGCGTGACATCTCAGAAAACTCCAGACGGATGAGGAGGCCTTACAAGACTCGCCTGAGATGATTTGCGAACTGGCGGCTCATAGCCCAGCGGTAGTACGCGCTGGTAAGAATGCGGAGCCTGGCTGGAAATGTCGGCCTCTTGTTATCAAAGGCTTGCTAGGCCCAGGCAGTACGGAACCCCGATTCAGTGGCGGGAGTGAGCAAGGCCAAAAAATACTGAGCGATTCTGCGACCTGCGTGTGCATCCCTGGGAAGCATGGTTACATCATCACGAAGGACCCGTATCAACAAAAGCCCCGAAGGACTTGTTTGCATGGTGCAGTATTGCAAGTCCGAGGGTTCACAGTGAACATAAGGAGGAGACGGCCAGGCGCACTATCCAACGGTCCCTGGCCTGATGGCCACAGAGCGGCAAAGTTGAGGCTGAAAACCTCGGCAAACGCCACTGCTACTGTGGGTCTTCAGCAGGGTCCCAAAATTGAACAAGACTTGACTTGTGCTTCAGCCACGTAAGTATAGACTTGCGAACGAGTCCTATGTTCATGTAATGTAGCGTCAAGACATGAGTGAGAGGACATCGTTGCGGAAGTCTCCATGCACAGCAACACGCAGCTCAGTCAAGGATGATCTTATGCATGTGTCTTCTGCTTGCATCTGCTTACATCTCGGAACATGCCGAGTTCGGAACTGATGGCAGCAGCAAACAGGCCCACAGAGAGCACAAATATGATGACCGACAGCCTCAGTCGGAATAGCATGCAGCCTCTCCTGCAGCTCGCGTATTCAATTATTAATACGTACCATGAAGTCGCCCCGCACCATATTTCAACAAAGCTTCGATCTAGACATCAGGAGGGATGGAAAGCTCATGCAAGAATCGCAAGCCAAGAGACGGCATTCCGGAGACGGTGCTCGACAGATCCAGCGGTCCTGGCAACCAGTACATGTGCGGCATTGTTGAAGGGGCAATCGCTGCATGTCCTGCACCATGGCCAGGCGCGGCTCGTGCCCGGATTGCTGCACGCATCTCTGAATAGGAGTCGAAGCCGGTTTTGGGCGTGACGATCCTCACCGGAAGCGCAATGACGGCAGCTGGCTACCAGTAGAGCGACATTAGAGTGTCCTGGACCAGCGAACATCACAGAGTTCGACTATCCGTTTGTCCACCTCCCGGGCTGCGCTCCACTGTGCTGAAGCAGCTCTCTGATGTGCAACTGACCGAGTCACCGCAAGCCTCCACCTCCTCTCTGGGCAGTACTCGTGGCAGCCGTGGAGTGGAGCCTCGGTTAGGTATGCTCGCGCGGCCAAGTTGGAACTTGCTGACGAGCAATTTACACAAGCTTACACAAGATTCACCAGGCACCGCAATCTAAAACAGCCTGGGAAGTGCACCTTTAGATCTAGCAACGATATGCCTGCGGCACCGAACCGACATCATTATCGCGGAGCTCTCCCTGCAACACGCATGGACCAACAAAATCTTACGTTGTTGCTTAATACGATGATGTACAATTTAACCGCATGAGCATCATTTTCAACACTGCTTTGATGTACTACTTCTCATCAACATCAATGCCGAGCAGCCATCCTTCTCCTTGAAGGCTTGCAACGGCTCCAGCAGCAGGTGATTATCAAATTTCGACTGATGCCTCAGCTGCGTCCAGCGGCCCATAAGGAAGTCAGATCCTACCAGTTGTTACCGCAATGGACGTCGTATAATGCCGCCTTCGTTGTCGTCACTCCGAGGTGATGATGATGACGAACAGGATGGTGTTGCTGGTGACGGTGGAGGTGGCTGTGGAGGTAGTGGCGCTGGTGATTACCAGCTCTGCTGGTGCTACTGCACTTCACTTCACTTCACTTCGGGGTCCAGGAGGCTGGTTAGGCCCCCCGCGCCGAGAGGCGCGCCCCTGTTGAGAGGCTTTAAGGGGCTAGAACAGTCAGAGCCCGTAAAAAGATATGGTTTCCCCGTCATCTGTAGAGAAAAAGAAATAGCTACTGCACTTCTCCTGCTCTCTCTTGCTACTGTCGTAATGCTTCGCTACAGATGGGTCCACATGATTGCTTTGGCACTTGCCCCTGTCGCAGGCGGCACATGATGGGCTGCTCTATCTTACAGACCTCCTCAGTTTAGAGCTTATAGAGTCCTTCACACTAACGACATCGATACAGTACCTCATAGGGAATCCTAGTTTACACCACAAAGCCCCCTCGCCCCTCCCCCCGCCCTCCCTCGCCTCAGGCAAACAAACATTCCCGCACCAAGACCCCAGCAGAGGAATCCTTTTGAAAGGGAACTCCCCAAATTGAGAGCCAGGAAGATAGTTATCCGAGGGTCTGCAGCATGAAGTCTCGGGAGCTCTGAGCCGCGACCTTCTTCAGAATCTCGGACCCTTGCAGGGGGAGGGCACATGCTGGCGATTGCTGACATCAGTATGTTGATTCTCGTCCTTCTTGCTACTGACACGTCTGCACACCCATCACACCAGCATCTTGTGCTGGTTGTTGGCTTGCGGGACCACACAGCGAAGCCTGGCCTGGCAGGCTTGGAAGAAGAAACCGGGCCAGCCGCCGAATCCTGGGTTGGGAGCTCAGCGAACCGGCTGGGAGAGGAGGCGAAAAGACTCTGCCAAGCGACTGTCCCGACAAGTCATCGAGAAGATCCTGGCTTGGCAGGGGCTTGGCGTCTGTGGTGTCCAGGCTCTGGCTTCTGGCAGTCCTCGTAGGTGACCCAAGCAACCTGGCTTCGAAAGCGCCAGGCACGGCTTCCGTGGCAAAAAGCGCAGCGAAAGTATGGCAAGTATGGGCATCGGCGCACGGCTGTGATACTCTCTGGCCTGGCCTGCGGATCCGACCAGCAGCACTTGTACCAGGAAAGGATGTGGTACCACACGTCCTGGCTCGATTTGTCGCGCACTTTTCGGTTGTACTCGGCAGTACAGTCGAACATGATACCACATGATGCTTGCACCCCGCGGTCGTTCGCGTTTACTCGCGCATAGAAGGCCGAGGCATAAAGGCCCACTGCAATTTCACCGGGCTTCAGGCCTGTGACACGTGGTGCGAGAATGACCTAGCCAAAGTCTTGCGTTGCATGAATCGCTGTGCCTGCCAGCCGTGCCCATGTCCCATTGCAGAACAGGCGGTGCTGTGCAAAGAGCACCTCAAGGCACAGAAGGATGCAGGGAGACATGTTCAATGCCTTTGCGCAGGTTTATGGCTCAAGCGGCTTGGGCAGGGGCTTGTTGTGGGTCTCTCATCAGCACGACATATCTGACGTTGGCCACGGCAGCGGCGTGCACGTGGTGGGACTTGAGAATCCGGGGTTCGAGCTCCAGCCCCTCTTGCGCAGCAAGCATGTCTGGGCCTTTCTTGGACCCGAGGGCATCGTACCAGGTGACCACCTGATTCAGGTCCTCAAAGTCCAATGAGCCATCCGCGCGGAGGCCGTGCAGGATGTGACTTAGCCACGTGGTGCCGCTGCCCATGCTCCCTGCGATCAGAACGTCCGATGGCTTGGACACGAAGCCCATAGATTCCTTCCAGGGGAAAAGCTGTCTGAAAGCCGTCGCGGTAAACTTCTGCAGCTTCTTGACCACGCCGTTTCCCAACTTCTGAAGGTTGCTTTCGGACATGTGCGCCACGATCTCCATCTCCCGAGGGCCTCCGGAGCCTCGTGACACCTCAAAGGGGTTGACGATGATGATGCACAGCACCACCACCAGCAAAAAGCAACTTACCGCACCGATTCGCCAGCGGCGAGCGGAGTCGTCCGAGATGATCTTAGGGGGCTCGTAGTCCGGCGAATACTCCCGCTGTATCCTCTCCAGGACTTCGCTGAGCACCTGTGTTGCGAGCTGGTCCCCTTTGATATCGAGCCTCCCATGACGCAGCGCATTGCTCACTGAGAGCGTGCCCTTCCCCAGCGCCGCCAAGTCAGCATCCAGGATGTTGAAGGTAGCATCAGCTCGAGGGTCCACGCCTTGCTGGAAGGAACCTGAGCCATGCCTCAGGTCCAAGGTGAAGTTTCCCTGCGGCCCACCATCGCGCAGGTTGAGTTGGTAGACGAACCCGGCCTGACGAACAAGGGATGCACCCTTCTCCTGGATAGCACGGCGGGTCTGATCAATCAGGGGCTGGCACAAGAGGCCGCTTGCCTGAGCCATGATCGTCCTCGAAGCTAAAACCTGATTTGGGGTTGAACAATTTTCCGCTTGTGGCTGGCTACGCTTACAATGAAGCGGTTCTAGATTCTAGACATAATTCCTGACCACCTCATCCTACATGTCATAGATGCCTGGGGGAAACGACTCATGCACCTACCTTGGTCCGGAGCAAACACCGGCGACACCCTGAGCCAAGCAATTGCTTTCGTGTTGTTCTGCAGTTTTAACATTGAGGTGTAACAAACTGCCAGTATATTACCCCTTGGTTGCCAGCCCAGCTGCAGCAAGCAGCAACATGCAACAGTAGCTAGGACAGTACCCTAGAATCCACCGCTGTTCTGGGCCCAGAAACGCGGAGTGAGCTAGTTACAGTATCCCTTCTCCTTGTACGGCATGAAAGCTTCTTGTCTGCACGGCGGAGGCCTGGCAAAGCGAAAAGACGGAGGCCAAACGCTTGAACGCACGAGTGCCTGCACAAGGTGCAAACAATGCTGCAACGACCATCCCGGCCCGGAAGATGCAGATCACCCGAGACTCCCGCATATAAGCGGCTCCCCGGATACATGGTGAAGGGCGACTCGGCCCTCAGAATCTCGTGCCCGAACATCAAAGCAACCATCCGCTCCACACATTTTATTTGCAGTCTGCATTAGCTGCGAAAAAGTGCACACACACACACACCTGCAATCTACTACACAGCTGCTCGAAGCAGGTACGGTGCATCAGCAATCAACTCGGCACGGATCTTGGACAGTAACGCTGCACCAGTCGAGGCTCCAGCTCCGTGGCAAATCCAGTCCCTTGGATTTCGAGTGTGGCACAGTTGCGGCTTCCCGGCAAACCCTAAAGAACAAAGGTGAAGAACATACTCAACCTACTAAACCGTAACATCGCTAGATGTGGCAAGGTAGAGTTCGCGGAGTTGACAGCAACCTTCGTCGATTTCTGCTCTTTTCTGCAGCTTCAAGATCTAGGGCCCCGCATGCTCCGCGAAGTTGTCTTTGCACAGCCCGAGCTCCCGGCAAAGCTGAATGCTCGCTCGAGGGCTGAACTCACCTAGAGTGTGAAAAAGCTTCTCGGGCATAGCAACTGTCTAGCACGACTCATCCAACGTTCAGTGTGTGCTTCGGCCGATCTCAAATTAAACCTAGTCAGCCTGCACCCAACATCAAAGGCTCAGGGTTTGGATGGGGGGTTTTCGGAAAGGCTAGCACGCGTTGACACTGAGACTGGATGGTGCAAAGGGGATGCGAAGGGATTCTGCACGGGCTTCGCGCGATCTTCCACACACATATTGCTGTGTCTACATTGTACTGTTCTCGTCCTGTACCTCTTCAACCATGTGATCACTCTAGTGTTGATTTTATCATTTTGTTTGGTCTCTATGTCTGGCCGAGTTTAGCCGTGCGCACACATTCAGATGTTCCTTCGTGGTGTACACCTACCTCTGCGAATACACCCATTTTGATGCGGGAATCGGCGTGTTCGTTTGCGTGTGTACATGTGTATGTGCAGGTATATATGTATGTATGTATGTATGTATGCATGCATGTATGTATGTATGTATGTATGTATGAATGTATGTATGTAGGCATGCATGAAACATGGATGTAGGTATGTACGTATGCATTTATGTATGCAGCACTGTATGCATGTGTGCATGGGTAACTGCCAAACAATGGTCCTTTTGGGGAACCTTATATACTTCTATACTCTTAATACGACACCCCTAAAGTTGTTTGGGAACCCAAGAGACCCTAACTTGCACAATGCAATAATATGCGATAATTGTATATGGCGCAAAGCGTTGAATCAAGATTAATGCCCCCTTTGAGATGTCCTGTCCCTCTCTTCACTTCACTTCACTTCGGGGTTCAGAGGGCGTGTCAAGCCCCCCGCGCCGAGAGGCGCGCCCCTGTTTAGAGGCTTTAAGGGGCAACAACAGTCGGAGCTCAGAAAAAGTGATTCTGCAACCGTGTCTTTTTACCGGTGACGGGGGAACCTGTCCCTCTCTCTCTCTCTCGCTCTCTTCGCCGCCCATTTTGCTGAGCCCATCGCTGACGCAGATCGAGGTCTTGCTGGTCTGCGGGGTCCTGCAAGCGGTGCAGGAGATGGAGACATGCCAGTGCAGCAAACTCGCTGCAGCCGTCCTTCAGCAGCAGGCGCGCGGAGGGCTTTTCCCGGCCTCCAGAACTCTAGGAATGAGCCGTGGAACGATCTGACTTGTCCGTCTTGTGGCAGGGTCCTGTACTGGTCTTACTTGTGGTGGCCTCTCAGATCGAATATCTGCCCCTGACAACTAAACGAGGATCCGCCTCCGCTGCACGGCCCTCATCACATCGATCCTCGTTTCAGGAAAGATGCGATACCTTTTCGCCCTGAGCTGGGGCGCAGGCCTGGATTTCGGCTTCAAGCTTGGATAAGGCCTGGAAGACCGATGCCAAGGCGAGAGGCGAGAGGACTTTTAAAGCGCATCGCTCTAAAACGCAAGGCCTCGGTGCAGGGGAGCTCGTGGAGGACCGTGAAGCCTGGACAAGATTCGCTGGGGTCTTCGGCCAAGGAAGTCTCCGAATCCCAGATGTAGCGCTGATCCCAACAGCGCCTCCCTTCAAAGCTCTATGCATGAGCCCTACTCGTGCCTGGCTGTAGCTGCTGCATCGACCTGCAGAATTTGAGATACCGTGATGCACGAGTAGGCACGCTTGAGGAACGCTCTACGGGTTGTCACTTCCAATCCAACAACGCATGCTGCGAAGCAGTGCTATGCCACTCCTCCCGCGTTTAACGACTTAATCTTTCTTACGGTTCAAACCTTGTCAACATAGTCGCCTGATGTACCGAAGAACCTGAATGCAATCTCTAGGCAGCTCGGTGCAGCGCTCGGTACATCGGATTATGTGTGCTCCACGGTACTATATCCAGATCTATCCACGTGCAAAACAAAACGACGTCGCTTTCCCAGTGCCGGCCTGGCTCGCTGTAAGCCATAGCAAGCGGGGCCAGGGGAGGGAAGGCTCAAGCAGGCTCTGTAGAAGGAGGGACTTCATTCCAAGGACGTAACGTAGGTGCGTTGTAGTTTCTGCGCGGGCCGGGGCCTAACTACCGAAGTACTTTCGACTTCGACAAGAGACTGGAGCCAAGCTCCAGCAGGATGTGCCACATCGACTGGTGTATCTGAGCAACTAGATGGCACAAACGGCACATTGCGGACTGGAGGACGAGCTCAACACATCTTCGCACCGCTCTCTTGTCACTGCGAGGCCTAGACGACCTAGCTGGATAAGCCAAGAAAGCCCAGTAAGCTCCCTAGCTGACAACATTAACACCAGAGATTCGATCCTGCGTCGACCTCCGTGGGCACAGCTATCCGCTCGAGTTGAGCAGACGCTGCGCTATGCCAGTCCTCCAACCCCTTGCTGTGCGTACCTCCGTCTCGCCGGCGCGCTGCCCGACTTTCATCGGCACCCACAAAAGAGCGCGGTAGCCACTGGCATTGGCCACTTGCTCGTATTCGATACGAAGGATGGCCCAGAATGTCCGACGAAAAATTTCTGCCACCGTCATGAAGCAATGCAGTATTTCACGAGCAACAATGTCGGTGGTAAGAATTGTCACGGGCATCAGGGTCAGCACCCATGTTAGCCGCAAGAGGATGTCCATAATGATAGCAACGTAATAAACCCTTCGCGGAAAGTGCCGCGAAGGCTGGCTGTTCTGCGCTTGCCTCATTAGGTTGAGGTCCACAGCAGACCCTTGCCAAGACGGGGGGGAGTCGCCCACATAGCTCTCATGCCTGCCTCTGGGAGAGAGAATCCCTCCATCACCGTGCCCATTTAAGCGGCCCAAGAAGATTTCTTCGACTCCAAGGCCCCAATCCATCGTGACATCCCAGATGGCAGCATAACAGGTGGCGACAGCCGAGGCCAGAATGACGATCCACTTCGGGTATCCCGGCCTGCTGAGCACCACCACAAGCAGGCTTGCAGCATACTTGCCCATGTTCAAAAGGTGGCGACGCTGCCCTGTGTCGTAGTATCGGCGCGCGCACTGCAGCAGCCGGAACCAGAAAGGAGCCCCTCCGATGAGTGGCTGCACGTAGGAGGCCTCCCAAGATGGACAGGTGCTGCCGTTCCGGATGAAGCGCTCCATCGAGGACTGCAGCTGTGGATGATGGGAGCCTCAGCGACTCACCGCGGCTTGAGTCGGCTTGCTACCCGGCTACCTGGACCTAGACGCAAAAAGAAGGCGTCGCCCGTGGATGGATCCAAGCCGCTCAGGTAACAGATTGCAGGCGGCACGTCCTGGATTGCACAGGAATGTCTGCTGGCTCTGAATCGAGCGACACACACCGAGCTGAGACCATTTCCCGCAGAGCAAGCTGCAACGAGCCCGAAGAAGCACGCTCTCCGTTAGCAAGCCCTTGCAGTCCCGCAGCGGCTTCGCTAGACTCGTGAGCACATCACCTCGGTCTCAAGGCACGTCGACACGAGGTTCCTCTTTTCAGCCAGCCGGCACTCCTCCCATGTGTCTGATAAACGGAGAAACCACCCCAAAGAGCAGCCCACGACCTAGGTCTCCGAGGCGCAAGCCGATCATGTTGTCACAGAAGCTCACAGCATACAGTGGAGCCTCATGCACGGGTCCGAACAAGCTTCGTCTGTGAACCATGAAGCAGGTGCAGAGAGTCAGATTCAAGCTACCTGACGGAACTACAGCACAAAATACATGCTTTAGAAGTCGCCGATCATCTAAGATGCTTGCCAAGCATGTTCTGCCAACACCTCGTATGATCTGTGCCTGCACAGGATCACGGGACAGCTACCTTTGCTTGGTCCTCCTCCCACATCTCCGCGTGAAACAACATTGAGGCCTTGTAACGAAACCGGCATATGGACGAAGGCTGCACCAAGAGGATGAAAGAAATGCCTGTCAGCCCGCTGCTCCGCTGCTCCGCTTGATTATGCAGTGAAGCTCGTCCTGCCTGCAAGAACGACGGGATAGAGGACATAGTGCCAGGAGGCACGCTCCAGCCTGGTCGATGACGACCAAACCTCAATGACTCAGAGAGCAGAGAGCGCAGTGAACGTCTATCGCCCACTGCCGACCCCTGTGCCTGCAGCGCTCATCACTTTTTGTGAGGATGCACCATCAGCTTTCCCAGCATTTTGCCAGGTGCACGAGGTTGATTCTTTGATCAACGCCATGCAAAGCGGAATACGATGCACCCTCTCAGCCTTGTCAGGTCACGTTGCGCATGTCGATGTGACACAGCGTCAGCCTCGGCCAAACAGGAAATGCAGCTCGAAAGAGATCCCGAAATTCCCGAACCCGTGAAGTTCTCAAGAGGCCGTCGAAGACAACATCTGGCGAATCCCAATGTCTGGTCGTTACCATGCTACTGCTCGGTGTGATTTGGAGCCGCCCAACCCCAAGCTACAAGTGAAATGGCCTGAAGCCCTCGAGACAAGACGTCTCCGGCTCTAGAGCAGGACCCTAGAAGCTTCCTCAAGGTCAGAATGCTGAAGCTGGGGTCAATGATCTCAACACTCCTAAGACTCGAGATAGTACTAACTCCACTAATCACAGTCTTATCAGAACTGCATTCCGACAACTAACTAGCACAGTTCTGCGATAAACGACAATCAGCCACTCAATGCTGCGAAGTTAGTATCAGCACTGTGCGTCTGCAAGCGCACGTACACGTCATACTGCATCACTTAAATCCTGGGAAGTCTGGGTCTCGGGGCCCACCGAGCAGACGCTCGGGCAGCTCTTCTGGCTGCAGCCCCTGCGGTAGCGGAGTCGGCTTACTGGGAACTTCGGGTCCCAAGAATTGGGGTCCTCTTGAGGGATTTCAGTTACAGCCGCGCGGAGGCCCGGAAAAAAGAGAAAGAGACAGAGAGAGAAAGAGAGAAAGAGAGAGAGCGAGAGCCGCGGGGTGAGATAAACCCCAGCAGCACGGTACCGTCTCATCAAACAGGCGAACTCTAGAACTGTATATCCCCACCTCAATACATCCGACACACACACACAGGAACCAGCAGACTCGCATCCCATCCCTCCTTCCATTGATTGTCCCAGATCATCACTTTCACAAACCGGCAAAAGGGCCCCCGATTCAAATTCCTGGCATTCCAGAGGCCTGCCTCCAGCAGAACGAACAGCTCCAGGGCTGAAGAGCCATCGTCAAAGAGACCTCGAGGTCATCAGTATCTCAGTTTTGCTGGACATCTAGCTTTCAACATTCGAACTCGCTAAGTACAGAAAGGACGCCGCAGGAACGACCGTCTGCCAAAAACTCTCAGTTCCGGATCCATGCCGGTCTCCTCCAGACTCCACCTACTGGCCACTCTTTTGATAGAAATATATAGAAATATTTCACCCCTGAGTCCCCGGGTACCACCGGAGAAGCTCAGAGTAAATGCAAAAGCCCCCCGTCCTCGCCTCGTATGCGGCGGCCCATGGAGGAGTCCCCCATGTCTACGGAAGCCTCCAAGAAGTCCTCGCCAAGGGCGGCTGTTGTGGAAAAGTGGGCCTCTTGGGCTTTCTATGCCAGGCTCCACTCTGTTTGAATGGAAATCTGCTTGAATTGCGACTTTTGGCATCGGAGCGGCCTTCTGCGCAAAGTACGTGATTCCTGGCTCCAGACGGCGGGCCAACCAAGTTCAGAGCTAAGTCGAGTGAAGTTCAGAGAGCCGTGTCTGCTTGAGAGCGGCTGCATTGATTGGCGATGATGGCCGGCTTGCTGCCCACTGCCTGGAACGGATCGACGAGGCTACCCGGGATACTATAATATACTATTACTATAACATACTATAATATACTATAACACACGCTCCGGCTGAGCCTGCTTCAGCATGTAGGAGCCCTCGAGAACTCGTGCTATGAGCTTCAGGCCTCGCTCTCCCAAAAGAGGCAAAAGCGCAAAGCATGTCACTTCGCGTGCCCTGGGTATCGCACGCTTGTCGCGCTCGGGTGCACTCATCTCTTGTAGGAACCTGCATGGAAATGACCCTCGAGCTTCCAGTGTCAGTACGTGCCAGGATCGCTTGCTCTTGCACACTCAACTCGTGTCAAGTGTTCAAAAGCTGTAGGCGGACTGCAAAAATGTAGGCAGTTCCGCGAAACGGACAAAAGGTATTCCCAATTTCTCTGGGTGCGGTGGCCTCTGAAGGAGTCTGCCCTGCCGTGAGTCCGACCACTCGGCATCCTTCGCAAACTGATGTATCTGATGCGGCCACCCCCACGCCCGCTTTGCTGCAGACTGACACATTTAATTTACTAACACGACGCCCCTTCCGGGCCTGCGGGACCGACCAGCACGCCACCAGTTGCGAGTCCGGCAGGCGGAAATTCAGGACGAGCAAGAAGGTCGACTTATCTGCCATGGCCGCAGGGTTTCGGGCTCTGTGGGTTTGGCATGGCTTAGGCCGCAGTGCGAGGCTCTGCAAGGTACAAGGCCCGTCTCAGAAGTTGTCAATGCCGGCCTCGCGGCTGGCTTCTGTGGCTGGAGCTGAAGCATTCCAGATCCTGCTGTGTCAAAAACCCTGCCCTCCTTCAGCACTTGCTACCACAATTTGGACATGCCATGTAGCGTGATGCCACACATGGCTTCAGCCCCAAAATAGCAACTTCCTCTGCCATGTTCTGATACGCAACTCGGTCCCGGCCACGGAAAATGTCCACGAAACTCAGAGCCAGCATTGGGCTCTCAGTCTGGCATTTCCTGAAGGAGAGAGGAGAGCGGAGAGGTCAAAATGTTTGCAGCAAGGATGTGCCGAGAAGTTGCAAAACATGGACTGATGTGAACGAGCTGAAGTATCTGAATAGAGAGGTGCACGTAACTGCAAGCAGGTTGGAACTACCGAGGCACAAAGAGCCACCTGGCTTGGAGAACTGATGTGAACAAGTTGAACTTCGTATGTATCCGAAGCGACATTATGTCAGTATGTCCGTATTCGGTCGAAATTGGTGTTCGCTCGCAGAAACCCGACAGAGCCAGCCGCTAAACAGGCTTGATGGAGAAATGTGGAGCCGTGGACAGGTGCAGGCGCTAAAGCCGCTTTAGCACGTATCGACAATGCACGTAGAAATCTGTAGATTGACGAAAAGACAACATGACATACACGTGGGACGAAACCGGCTGTAGGAATCTGCTACAATCAACTCAACTTCAGTAGACTTAGGTGCCATCCTCCGGCTTGTAATTCGGAATGAAGAAGAGTGCCGGGACAGCAACGGGCTTTGAGGACCGACCCTTCCCATGGCCTCTTGTCACGCAAGTAATCCGGCCCCCGAACCTGACTCAGAAGAAAGATCGAGGTGGTCAAGCTCGCACCTGCAGACTGACCGGGCCTTGATTCCCGCACCATCAGCTTGGTCCCAACCTTGCAGTCAACTAAGCATGCTCGTAATAGCGGCATCCGTTGTCCACAGGTACTTCCTCAGTGGCCCTCTATGTCGCTCTTTCAATGACGGAGCTGATTTGGGTCATAACATGTCATGCAGAGTCATACATACAAGTATGGTTGATCGCATTTGAGGCGATACCCTGTCCGCTTTCCTACAAGATCCAACGAGACCGAGTTCCTAACAACAACGCACGGCCACCTGTATGCTGCTGGGGTACTGCGTAATGACCACATGTATGCATGTATGGCCACTATGCATGAATACTAATGATTTTGCTTGCACGCACACCTGTGTTTTTGTTCTGTGCAGACGCCTTGCGATCGCAGAGGCTCCTGCAGTGCTTCTGTGCCGAGTACCGGCGACGTGGAAGGCCGTCTTCCTGTGCGTGTGGGCTTGACGTCCATGTCCAACCACTGTCTTGCTGTGCACGAGCGACACTTTGCGCTGCAGGTGCGGCCTCATCCCCGGAACTGCTGGTTGCCCGAGTAGAAGAGCACAAGGCTGGGCACAGCTTTGCGGGGGGGAACGCGAACCTGGCCGGGAGTTTGCAGAAGCTAGCAACAAGATGCCCAAGCGAAATCCAGGAGTTACATGTATCAGATCTGCAGGCAGGTGACGAGTCAAACTCGCGTCGCTCATACTCTTGCCAGAAGTCATCATCTTCCTGCCGACAGCAGGCAGAGATACACAAAGACTGCATGAATGAAAATGAGTCTCATGTGAATGTCCGCCAATGTTTGGGTATCGAAGTCCTCGGAAGAGGCCTCTGACGACTCAGCAGCCGCCTCGGTGGACGAATGGCAGCAGCAACAGCAGCACCAGCGCCGTCGCCTTCACACGGTCACAGGCAGCAAAGGTCGAAAGACTGGCACGACAATCAGACACTTTTCAGCGTGGCCTGGGTGCCATCTGAAACTCACATTGCTTCCGGCTCAATATTGCACACGACTGTGTCGTCTACATTTCTGCCAACCACGGCATGCATTGCCACTGTTGAATTCGCATGGCGGTGGTTCTCTTTTTGCCCACGTAGACACAACCTTGCTCCGGAACAAGTCAGGTGCTAAGTATAATTGTGATACCTATAGGCCCCTGTATGACGTGGGCGCGTGGGCGGTAGCACATCGTAGCACAGCATTGAGCAAGCACATCAAGTGTGGAGCTGCAAGCCGACGGCGCACAGAATGCCATGATGTGCTCTACCACGGAACACTTGCGCTGAACAAGAACTCGACCTGACATGGTGCAGCCCTGACTTGGCACAAAACCAGAGGAAGGACCATCCACTTGTAATCAACGACATACATGCCGAAGATGAGGATCCTCGGCGACGCTGCTGTGAAGAAAATTCAGAAGGCATGTCTCAAACATATCGTACGACCGTAATAACCGCCCGACAATTCTGTTGCCAATGAGTGCTGAATCCGCGAGGGATCCACTTACTTTGCTGCTGTTGGGCAGCAACGCAGAAGCTAGGTCTCGGGCCAAGCTGAGCTTAGCAACATGGCCCAGCTGAACAAGAAGTTTGGACCTGAGGCAGGTGTGCATACTCCTGGGGAATGTGGGTGCAGCATAGTTGGTCGGTACCAAACGAGTGTTGTTCGTTGTTCTTCGAACGAGTCAACGACAGCCGGCGACCTAGCCGTCGCCTCTGCTGCCAACTGGCTATACTGGGTCCTAGCCTCGTGGGAAAAAGCTGCATGGACTCATCCTTCCACATCGCTTCCGTCGCACACAGTATTTGAACTTTACGCCCTTAACCTGAGGAAGCGTTTCCTGAATTCATGCGCCGTGAAACATCATCAGTCTTCCCGCGATGATGGACCGTGGCTGAAAAGATTGAAAGCTGGCTGCTAAAGAACTTCACTTCGTAATTGTCCGCAAGAGAATGGCGTTCAACTTCGCTGGCTTACTGGCTGGCACTGCACCCACAACTCAGAAATTCAGAGTTAAGGGGTGCGCACGTTTTAGCATGCTGTAGCTGCTATAGTTGAAGTGTGGTTCGCGGCCTGCTTTTGATTTGTAGCCTGAAGAAACCATTTTTCCTCTCAAACTCCATCCTTGCTGTGGTTCCTGAGCATGCCTCGCTCCATTCCTCACAACAAACGATGCGGCCGGTGCCAACAGTTGATGATGCTGCCGACGAGGATGCTGCCTGCGGACTCGCTGCCGCTTCTACCTCTTGGGTCGGCGGCCTGAGCCGAAGTTTTGTTGGCCCAAACCCGGGTTGCATGAAAGTTCTTTGGTTTCGGCCATGCACCCCCTGCGAGGCCCTAGGGCACATGGCTCGTTGCTCTGATGATTCGTGCATTTCAGATGGGCTCGTAGAACCAGGCGCTGCTGGTTACCAGAAGCGTCGGAACATCACATGAGCAAGGGCAAGTATGATTGGGTTTCGGGGGCTGCAGGGGAGAGTTTCGGGTTTTCAGGCGTCCAGATTGGGGAGATTGTTCCCGCTCCATGCGGCGCGTAGAGTCGCAACACTCTCCAAATACTGAAAACTCTCGCACTCGCTCATGTGATGTTCCAAACATTCCTGGAGAGTCCTCGGCAGTGCTGTTCTGAGTTCTTGATTCCTTGGTCCTATTCCGCTGGGTCGTGGATGCATCCGGCCTCTCTTGCCTTCAGCTGCACCAACCACGAGGGCCCGCACGCAACAAAGCCCGTCCAAGGCGGTTTTCAGGTGGTCGGAGAAGGACGACATCGCGTGTTCAACTAAGTGTGCCAGATTTCTCCAGGAGTGCGGTCTCGAGCAGTGTGAAGTTTGTAGATACAGACTCTTCGGGGTGCGACTTTTGCTGCTCCCTCTTGTGTGCATTTCCCAAACCAACCCATGAGCAGCAGTCCTGTCCTGTGGTCCTGAGGGGCAGAAGCAAGGCAAAAGCTGGGTCCGGGACTAATTCGACATCTTGGGTCGATGGTCAAGATGAAACTGGGCACAAAGGGTGCGCTGCAACTGCCCGCAAGATTTGCACAATCCCCTGCTCCCTCCAGATGCTTGGCCCTGGACAAATGATTTACGAAGTTGTCCTCACCTGAGGCCGATTCAGGTAGCAAACTCTTTGCCCTATTTTGTGATTCTGCCACAAGTCTACCACTATCCCACCCATGCACCAAATCATGCCTGCATTCCCTCTACGATTCCCCCAAAGACCAATGCTACTTCCACATTACCTGAACCAGTATGGAACAAGCGATCGCCTGATGCATACTGGAGAAGTGTTTTTCCTTATTCCTTCCTCTACAATTCTCCCGTTACATCACTACTGCTGCCCCAGCAACGCAAACCCAAGTAGAAAAGCGATTACATCATCCATTGACCCAAAGGTGGTTTGATCATCCCGAAATGGGTCAAGGTTCCCTCAGTTTGCAGCTTGCAACAATAATATGATAACAAATTACAATTATGAGGTACCTCCTAGAGATCCGCTGCCGCAAACGAGTTGCCTTCCGATTGCTTACACGGATATGCTTGACCTCATTGCCAGGGTGTTCACAGGGTCCTCCTGCTGAGTAAACATCAAAACATCCTCAAGAAACTCATCATTGAGCAACAGTAGCTGCTGTGCATGATTCAACGCACTAATAGTCTCTGACTGATTTACATCTTGCACTTTGTGTTTATGACTACACCGGTCATTCTCTTTCCTCTTCTCCCTGGCTCTGGGGTACACTTTGCAAATAGTTTGTTATTCTTACTATATCCGATGAATGTGAGTACCTGACACAAACTCAAGCTGAGAGCCGGACAAACGCGGGCCACGGTGGCCATCCCAACGATCACCAAGACGAGACTAAGGCAAACTCTGAACCTGGCGCACGAATTGGCATGGAGTCTGCAGCTCTTTAGGGTGCCTTCTGTCAGCGGTTGACTGCAAATTGCCTTGGATATTTCTGACAGTCAGAACTGACACTTTCCCAACATGCCCGCAGCACACTGGAAAGCTGCAAAGGAAATAGTCCCGCGAGAACGTGGCGGGGTCCTTGGCAACAAACATGCGTTGCTGAGCATGAAGGTCCAAACGCTACTTGCGCATGGAGGGTGTGGATGAACTGAGATCCAGGCTTTGGCGGGCAACGCCATCAGCACGATTATCGCCAGCACAAGCGCCAAGGACAACCTCAAAAAGAGATGTCTGTTGTTGATTTGTGCCACTTTACAAGACCGAGAGAGGCAGCGATCCACGAAACCTTGCCGGGGTGGTTTGAGAACAACCATCGCAGAATCTCAAGCAACTGAAGACCTCCAATACTACTCTAGATCGTGCACATCTCCAGAGTTTTCTGATCTTGAAGCATCCGCCGAAAAGCCCACAAGCCTCGAATGAAGCTGTCATGCCGTTTCTACTGACTTTAAACAACTGCTCCTGGGCATGCCCGGCCTGACGAAGGCCCGGACAAGGGGTTTTTACCTCTGTTGAAACGAAAATAAGTCACGGGGCCCTGGCCCAATGAAGAAAAAGAGCAGCCGTTCAGCTCGCAGGGCGGGGCCCTTCAGAAGCGAAAGGAAGCTAAGGCTAGGGATGACTGTAGGATGTCAGGGTCTAGACAGGAGCATGCCCAAGAAAGTGACGGACCTTCGCGGAATCGCGAAGACACGGCCTGTGACCTTCCGTCGCTTCCCTGCGGATTTCGCGAGGGAGTCTCCTTCCTCGAGTCGTTAAGTGAATGGCTCGCGTTTTGGAGCCCAGGAAGCTTGAGGTGCGTGTGAAACGGTAGGATGCAGCGAGCGACCACCGCGACGACCGTGCGAAAGACTGCGCGTGGCGAGGACCCAGCGTGCCGTGCCAGCGTTGTAATTGCGCTGGACACGATGGGGTTCCGCGAACCCTCGTCACCTCAAATGAAGCTGCCATGAGGCACGACAGTGATATGCGAGGACCGAGCACAGTCATCTGCAACAGGCGGCAGGTATGCCGATATCCGCTGTTCTTCTCAAGCTCCTAGAAGCTGGCAACAGCATGATCTACCCGCAGCTCCTATTCAAGAGCCAAAAGCCCGTCGACTCGTAGACCAAACGTCCCTGTTTTGCTCGCGCCTGGAGGCCGGCCGTAGTCGCAGAACGCTTCCCAAGGCCTGGTCTCCGCCCTCGAAACTGCTTGAGATCCCTGGAAATGTCCATCACTGTGTTGCAGTCATAAAAACACGGCGAAAGTCCAGTAGACATGAAATCAAAAAAAGCAATAGCAAAACAGGTGATAAGTGTTAGAGTCGACCGCAACAAGCATCATCACTTTCACCAACGAATAGCAGCAGTGACCATGCATGATCTCCTAAACAAACTTGTAGCACACATCGGTCGCAAGCAAGTGCGACGATAATTCTAGCTAGAGTCTCCATTGTAGTTCCTTTGGGGGGTATAAGACTCTAAATCTTTAACTTGTTAAACCAAAAGAGGAACTACCATGGACGGAGACTATAAGCCGGACCGGGGTCCGAGCCGGCGGCCAAAAGCGCGACCTGCCAAGCAGTACTGTCGGAAGAGCGATTTAAGTAACGTCCAAGTCTCGGCTTCTCTTGAAGGAAATTTCCAATCGCGGTAGTGAGACTGAGTTTTCGGAGGCTTTGAGTCTGGGGTTTAGGGTAAGTTGAGTATTATTGTCCGTGGTTTGTTTTGGTCCTTGCCGTAGGAGCCTATTCAGACGCTCGGCATCTTGGCATCTTAAGGTTCTGAACTAGCAAGAACCTACGACAGCGAGGCTTGCTAAACGCTCCGATTTATTGGCTCGAACGACAGGACCGGCGTCTTGACACATCTTTTTTCACCTGACAGGCAGTCTTTGTAAGGATGTGTAGCACTCTTGCGAGTTGCCACGAGACCTCGACAGCTTAAAATCGGATGGTGTCCTTTGCACCTCTCGCTTCACGGCTACTGAGGCACTTCGCAGGAGGGAAGACTTCTGACTTAACTCCTCTTAGACCTCAGTAATATATATATATATATATACATATTTACTTCTTTATTCATATCTATATTTTTATATTTGTTTATTTATTCTTTTTCTGATTTTCATTAAGTTTCTCTCAACAATCCCCCAACCTGTGACAAGAGTGCCCCGAGCCACGGCCGCTAAGTCGGATCCTGTCTGCGTGCTCAGAAGTGGCGAAGGCCCCGTCCACTCGCCTTACGCTCCTTGCTTGGCCTTAAATACATGGATTGAACAGTGATCGAACAGATGCAAACGGCGGACTCTTTTGCTCGGATTTCCACTTGTACTACGGCCCAGTGCTATCACCATCGCCGAGTCTGAGGCATGCGCAGCTGCTTCTTTCTGAAGTGCCCTGCTTCAGATGTGCAGAAGCTGGCACCACTCGGACCGACTGGCATGCGCCTGAAGACCTCATCCTGGCCGGCTTTGATCGCACTGGTGATGAAGGTCCTACGCAGGTTGAAGGCATCGCTCTCGGTCTCGGCTTCACGCCGCCCCCTGCCTGAGAACGGCTTCTGTGACCGAATCTGGCACCGGAAACCATCCAGGCCTGAAGTCTGCACAGGAAGCGCAGATATAGAAGGCCGGAATACCGCTGCGACGACAGGAAGGCCCGCGCAAATAGTACTTGAACCGCTGGAGGGCCTCGCCACGGTTCGTCGGGGCCAACAGCAGAGACTTAGACTTAGACAGTCCTGACTTTGCCACGCCGACGACCAGAAGAACGATTAACAAAAACAACCCACGGCTCACCTGTGCATCTACGATCCAACAGGAAGGGCATTCTCCATGGAGCACGCCTGCTGCACTATGCGCAGGTCGTCCGAACGCGGATCATCTTGCCAACGAAGCACGATCTGGCCACTCAGAACATCATTCAGGAAGTTCTAGCTACTCGCTGCATGCCTCCGCGTTGGCCTCGAGCAGCTTATCCAAGTCCTCCCAGTTCAAGGGATGGGGGCTGCCCGGCAAACCCGTGGAAGGTCGACAGATCTGGTCCCGGCAGCCACCCTGAACCATTTTCTTCGAGCCCTTTGAAATCAAGTACCAGGCTGCCTTCTGGTACTCGACGCTGCCAGTTCTCTTGTCCCGCAGACCCGGGTTGATCTCCAAGACCTGGCAGAGAGTTGCGGTCCAATGCTTCGGCATCATCCCCGAGCTAGGATCCAACCCCAACCACCATCCACCTGGCCTGCACCTCGGCCCTTTGCGGCAGGAGGCTGATCCGGACTGTCATGCGCACCTGGGGTGAGGTCTCTAGGCTTTCGGTTCAGATGATTGGGGTGAGATGCGGGAGGACTCGGTATTGAATGCATGGATCCCTTTCAAACAAGCTGCACGACTGGGATCGAATAGTTATGGCAATGTAGGTATTGACGACATTACGATTTTACACATTATGTTACTTCTAAAAAAAGAGCCTCTGTCTGAGCATTACAGTATCAGGTCCCAGACAAACTTCCGAGTTAATCAAAGCTGAGAAGGCGCCTGGGTGCTGTAGGGGCCGATCTCCAGAGCAGGAAAGTATAAGTAGATCAAACCATCTTCGGAGGCCGGCTCCGTCCTCTCCACGCCGTTAAACAGGATCTCGGCCGCACGCTCCTCCAAGAGCTGCTCGATCCATTGAGCATCGCATTTCGACAGCTCCTCCCTCGCCGAGTTCTCCACCACCACAGTCACGGAGCGAGCAGCACAGGCAGTAGGGTGCTTCCTGTGTTCACGGTGCATCCTTGGCTTACTCGGCCTCAGAACCCATGCCAGCGACCCGGCGCAGAGGCCCAGCCCCAGCGCACCTCGAGATCTGCGCCCTTTTTGCCTCTGAGGCCCGACACCAGGCCTGTGGGGTGCAGAGACCCACGGCACGGCTTTTGCCGCAGCTGGGAAGGCGGCATCCATCCCGGCTGAACCGTGCGACTACTTCGGCAAACTTCGGTTGCGCTGTCGGTTCCTGCCTTGCGGCTAGCCTGTGGCCTTTGTTCCCCTCCCGTGCTGCATGAAGACTTCACAAAGATGCCTTTCTGGGCTAGAGCCGTAAAGCTCAAGCTGCACTGCCACACTTTGACCTGTAAAGCAAGCACATGCAAGCACCCATATGGGGGTTTCCGAAAATAGGGGACCCGAATATAGTACCCCAAAAAATAGGATCCTTAATATAAGGACCCCAAAATAAAGTACCCCTAATTTCGGAAACTCCCATATCACTCATGACTCCAAAAAGCGGGCCCTTCTCGTTTTGAACTCGGGCCCAACCTCGGGAGAGATCCCGGGCTCTGCGGATGCAGAGCGATTTTGGAAGGCCTGGGTGGCTTTGTGGCTTTCGGAGCTCTTGGAATTTTGGCGCTTTTTGGGTGACAGAACAATTGGGATGGGCAAGGATCCGTCGCCCGCAAGCTCTCTTGGGCGTGCCTGTCGAACGCTGGCGTCCAGGGCTTCAAAAGCGCCCATGTCCGCGAAAATTGTGTTCTGGCACCGGGAGGCGAAAAAAATCGTGGCCACATCGAGGCACCGGAGCCATCGTCCTGGCCTCGATGTTGAACGGGTACTTCAAGGTAATGCCATCTTCACGCTTCAAGATCTTGTCGTGCTTGCGCAGTATTTTGAACCTCCCGCGGTTAAACGCTGTCGCTGTGTGTTCAAAATACGAGGGAATGGTTCTTTCCTTGACCCAAGGATTTAAGAGTGCAGCATAGTAGCACATTCCAACGCTCAATTCTCAAGCTTTCAAGCCCAAGCAGGCGCACACTGCCGCGTGGTTGAGTTCGGCGTATCCACGTAGGCGGTAGATGCCCTCCGCCAACCGCCCAAGTGCCTTCGGGGGATCGGAACGTCGGGGAATCTCGTGTGAGGGCACCCACTCGGACAGGCACTGTTAGATGCAGGACGGGCACCAGCGAAAACATCCAGCCTCCAGCACGTTCAACTCCATGAATTGGCTCATGGAAGCCGGCTGCGACTCCGGCGTCGAGCCTGGCAAACGTGACGGCATCCATCGTCTCAATCATCTCTGAGATTGCAGAACATAGGATCCGCCGTCTGCATGGTCTCGAATGGGCACATGACATAGCCTAACTCGTCGCTTTTGGTTTTCCTCATTCCGTCATCGCCACTTTGGATGACTTGCAGGGAGCTTGAAGGCTCCAGGCACCAGCCTGAGTTCCCAGGCGTGCGCGACAGCTCCGTGACAGCTCCAAGAGGGTTTCCTACGGCAGTCAGGTCTTCAGACTGCCGAGCACCCTTGCTTGGCGCCGGAGATTCACGAACGAACTACTGAGCATCCCCGGATCAGCCTTCGTCGCTGTCCTGTGGGGATTTCAAAAAGAGTTTCCACAGCCCTTTCGCTCTGGGGTGAAACGGCAACGTGTCAACAACACAGCTTGCCTAACATTGGGTGTTGTTGTAACCCGCGGGTGTCGGCCCGCATCTCCAAAATGCATAGCTTGACTCGCACATGGGGAAAAACAGAGCCAGGAAATGCCTTCATCTGTGGCACTACGCATCTGCCAGGAGAGAAGCAACCGGCCGTCTGCCTCCCGTCGCAGCAAAATGCCAATGCACAGAATACCCTAAACCCCTAAACCCTAAACCCTAAACCCTACCCTAAACCCCTAAACCCTAAACCCCTAAACCCTAAACCCTAAACTCTCCAGGCTTCGAGCCTCTGTCAGCAGCCAAGTCGGCTGCAGTTCTGCCGCGCTGGTCCTGTGCTACAGCGAGTTGGCCATTCGCCAACGGTCGCTGTCCAACTTTTCCTAATCTCTGGTGCTGGAGCGAATGGAAAGGTGGCGTCTTTAGAGTGCCAGCCTTCAAGGCCAAGATCGCTCGCTTGTCCGGGGCGCCCCCTGGAGAAACAGGCCACAAAGACCCCCTTCTTGTGTTATAAGTCTAAGCAACTAGTGAACTTCCTGCAATGTAGGGCCACCGGGCCGTGGAATTTGGGACTGAGGTTCACTGACTCGTGAGGCGGTGATCTCTGATTGGATCCTCCCCAATCCGCGCAGGACGGGGCCTTAAGGCCCCCACGCAGGAGGGCCTTGGCGGCCTCTTCGTGGCCACGGTAGGCGATGAGATGCAGGGCCTTTCTGCACTTGCATTGACGTGTATGCATATATATATATAT